TCTACCTTCCTTCAAGTTTTGTTGAATGATTCCAGCGAGCATGCTTCCTCCCACGTTAGGAACTTTGTGAGATTCCTCTACAAATCGTTGAATGTAGTTGCGGAGGGTCTCGCCCTCTCTCTGGGTGATAGTGAAGAGGTACGCGGGAGTCTTTGCGTACTCTTTGTTGATAGCGAAATGGTGGGTGAAGCGATCTGTTAGTTGGGAGAGAGCTTCAATTGACCCAGTGGGCAAGGAGTTGAACCAGATCTATGCTCGTTCGGAGAGCGTTGTGCGAAACATCTTGCACATCGCCGCATCAATTGGGCCATATAGATCTGCCATGGCGTAGAACTTTTCAAGGTGCTCCTGTGGGTCACCAGTTCCATCGAATTGCGGTGGACTCGAGACCTTTACCCGTTGGGGTAGTATCATTGATTATTGCGACAGTGAAGGGATTGTGCCTCATTGGAGGTAATCCCTTCCACCAATGGGATTACCTATGTGGGGAAGGTGATTTGAGCGAGATACCTGACTACTAATTTCAACCTCTCCACCATTGTGTGGAGGAGCTCGTTGGTGAGATGTGTTGCCTCTTGAAGGTGAACGTGGGTCTCGTCGCCCAGTTCGTGCATCTTGGCGATGAGTAGATTGTTGCATTCGGGACCGTGGGTCCGAGGTAGAGGAGGAGACACTTATTTGGTTCTGGACTGGCGGTGGTGCCATAGGTGGCTCCACAGGTGGAGTAGGTGCTGGTATCGCGTTGGGAGCATTTGCTCCCATCGTGGCGATGTATTGGGTCACAGCCTCTGTGGCGGCGCGAGTTGAGGCTTCTGCTATCATGCGCTGGAGCGCATCCTCAGTTATTTGAACCGTTCGAGGAGGATCCGCGGCACGTGGAGGAGGTGGCAAGCCAGAGCCTCCACGGACTGGGAGGTTGTTAGCTGTGTCATTTTCTCTCCGAGCAGACGCCTCAGGAGGATCTTGTTGGCTACGTGATCTGGTTTGCATCGTTCCCACAGACAGCGCCAAAATGATGATGCTAATTACTTAGATCACCTGAGGTAGTGTAGAAAACGAACTGGGAGAGCAAAGCGGATCAGTAGCTTGACAACTTGATGATCTTGAGGTACCTGCGATCATAGAACACGTGAACTAGGCCGGGGGTTGATCCGGCGGAAACCCCTCCGACGCTCAAGTCAGACGTGCTAATAGTAGAAATAGTCCATAGAATACATTTAATAGTATTGCTCAGATAATAGGACGTACCTTAAGGAATGAGTTCAAACCTTTATTTATAGCTTAGTTGAGATTGTCGGGCTCAAACCTTACTTGAAGGTGATTGGGCCTCGGTGATAGTGGTCTTCGATATTGGGCTCGTGGCCCAGTAGATAAATAATTTGTAGGCCCATTGGGTTGGGCCAATTAGGCATATCACATATTTTCTAAAATCGTTTTAGCTGGACAAAAGTACCTTTGCTAAAGTCTATAAATATAAGGTTTTGTTTGAGCCATTTTCCACTATACTTTTCAACATTTTCAGTCGATTTTACTTGGGAAATTTTGGTATTTTTATTTTTTCTCCAAAACATCTAATTGCTTGGATTTTTTTATTTTCTGGGAATAATACCTTTTATTTTTGTTATTTTGAATTTTTTTCATGTTTTTCTTAAATGTCTTCCGGTAGTTCAAATTCTCAACAATCATATGATGTTTTCTAGTTCTATGTAAATGGAAACAATCCTCACCCCGAAAACATCTTTACAATCCTATGATGAAATCCGGATGGCTCTAAATATAAAGCTCGTCACGTGGCTAAGGAATTTCATCAACGTCCGGGTCTTGATTTTCATGACACGTTATGTCCCGTTGTTTAGCCCACAGCAATTCAAGTTATTCTTTCAATAGCATTATCCAATGGCTGGCCACTTCGCTAATTGGATGTCAATAATGTTTCTCTCAATGAGACATTATCTGAGGACGTTTATATGCAGCAACCCCCAGGGTATGTTGATAAATCTAATCCGGATTTTGTTTTGCAAATTGCGCAAATCCATATACGACTTAAGCAAGCTCCACGCGCATGGTTTAATGAGTTGAAAGGTTTTTTGCTCTCGGATGGGTTTCATAATTCTCACAGTGATGCCTCTCTCTTTATTTTTCACAATGAATTGTTTTTTTCTCGTCTATGTTGATGATCTTATAGTGACAGACAATTGCAACAAATTTTTACCCACTTTTCTCTCACCGTTGGGTGCTCAGTTCTCTATGAAAGACCTTGTGGATCTTCATTTTTTCTCGGCATTGAAGTAATATCAACTCCCTCGGGACTTCTTCTTACTCAACACAAATATATTCGAGATCTCTTTGAGTGAAATGGCATGGCTGGTGCTAAAGCTTGCACAACACCCGTGTCCCCGAACCAACCACTTCATCTTCATGATAGATTTCCCGCTGCTAATGCTACCAAGTACAGACAAGTCATTGGTGCACTACAATATCTATCTCTTGCGAGGCGCGACATTTCATATGCGGTGAACAAGTTGGCCCAGTTCATGCATTCTCCATCCGAAGCTCATTGGATTGCAACCAAAAGACTCTTGCGCTACCTTAATTTCACCATCCATCATGGTCTCTTTCTGAAAAAGAATCAGCCACTAGCTTTAACCGCCTTCACCGATGTTGATTGGGCCGGCAACCGTGATGATCGTACATCAACTTCAACCTACGTTGTTTATTTAGGCGGAAATGTGATTTCATGGTGCTCTAAAAACCAAAACACGGTTGATCGATCATCTACGGAAGCGGAATACCTAGCCTTCGCCTCATGTACTGCTGAAATACTCTGGCTGGAAAATCTGCTGCAGGAAGTTCATGTCACACCTACCTCAGTCCCGACGATCTTTTGCGGGAATATCGTGGCAACGTATCTCTCCACTAACCCGGTGTTTCACTCACATATGAAACATATATCTATTGACTATCACTTTGTACGTGATCACGTTATCAAAGGGTCCTTTAATGTATCTCACATTGCTTCCAAAGACCAGCTCGCGGATGCCCTCACAAATCCATTGCCATCCTCTCTCTTTCCTCAAATTCTAGTCCAAGTAATTAATCATTTATATATATATATATATATATATATATATATATATATATATATATATATATATATATATATATATATATATATATATATATATATATATATATATTATGAGATACATGGTGTAATCAAAGTATCAATGAAATCTCTTTCGCACTTTTAGTATTCTTCATTTCGCTGCTTAATAATATTACATTCTTTTTATTCAAAAAAAAAAAAGAAACAAACAAACAAAATTCCAATACTTTTTATTTTATCTTCACTAATAGTTAATAACAACAAATTTCGAATCAGACATGTAATATATTATAGATTTTTGCAAGTCAGATGTACGCTTCGTAACTTTTTTGAGATAATATATTATGGCTACAATGAATCAATGTTTTCAGAACCGGATCAGATCGGCCGGTTTGACCGCGACCCTTGAAGAAAACAGCCCGATTTGATAGCTAAAACCAGAAAAACTAAAAATCCGGTCCAAATGTTTGAACCCCGGTTCGACCTGACAAAAGCGGTGAACCTGGTCAATGACTCCCGTTCCCGTCTAAAACACTACGTCGGAGGTGGTTGTTGGTGGCAGGTTTGGGTGGAGTTTGCCGGGGTAGCTAGATATGGGTGGAGTATGACGTTCGGTGACAGGAATTCGACGGATGTGGTTGTGGGTTGCCGGGATTCGATGAATCCGGTCGTGGATGACCGTAAGGTAGTTGAAATCGGGATTTTACTTGAAATCGGTGAGGGGTAGTAAAATCGAAAACGTAAAATCGAATCGTAAAATTGTAAGATTTTACACGGCTTGTAAAATTAATTGCAACCCATTATATATATATATATATATATATATATATATATATATATATATATATATATATATATATATATATATATATATATATATATATATATATATATATATATATATATATATATATATATATATATATATATATATATATATATATATATATATATATATGAAACATCCAAATATTAACAAAACATGTTTTAATATAAATTAAACATAATCTAACATAAATTGAACATAATTAAAATCTAATGAACTAGCTTAAATTTTCAAGGTTGACATTAGGATCAAGTCCATCGTCACTCTTACTCTCATTATCATCACTTTCATCTTCCTCAACCATCTCCATACTTCTTTCCCTTTCTTCATCTTCATCTTCATCTACATCTTGCTCACTAGCATCACTCTCATCAAGAGGATCACCATCATCAACAATAACCATGAGTGTAATCTTCCCCTCCCACATCTCCATCCATCTCAACAACATTATCTCCATCAGGATCAACACCTCCACCTCTTTCCGTAATCCATTCATCATCTGAATGTACTTCTTCGACATCGATCTCAATATTTCGGAACTTTTTATCTTTTTCTTTTTATTGTCTGAATATTCAGGAGCTAAACTTTGAATTGTACATTGATGTACACTAAATCATTAATTTTCTTTTGAAGCAATTTGTTTCTTTTCTTCGTATGGACCTATAAATAAGTCATAAAGTAAATATAAAAATTAAGGATGTATGATAAAAATATAAACTATAATAAAATTATAAAAAAAAAAAAAAATCACCATCTCGAATGCGCTCCAATTACGCTCACATCCCGAAGAACTACAAGTCAGACTAAGTATTTTTGTAGCGAACTTTTGATGTTCGGGAACATCATCTCCATAAGTATTCTACCAATCAGCTGGATGTTTTTTCCCCAACAATGCTCTTGCATCTTCCCTAGAAAACATGCCTTGTGTGTGGTGGAATGCATCAAGTTGTGTAATGATGGTGCGCCTTTCAAACCGATCATTTGCCAACTTATCAATTGGATCAAAAAGTCCATTTTCAACCTCCCTATCATTAGCATTGAAAGTTGGAAGATAATGAATCCTAGGGTTTAAATAGTGGGCTGCTGCATGCAATGGCCTATGGAGTTGATTATTCCACATCTCGCAATGATCTTCCATATAGGCTCAAATCTATAAAATTGCATAAAAAACATAAATAAGAAAACTCAAGTCTTCACGAATAAATTAATAGATAAATTAATTAGAATTGTATGAAATTAATAATTTACCTTGATTTCACATTGTTGAAGTTATTTTGGATTTTTTCTTTTGCACAATCCATCTCCTCGTATAAGAATGGCATAGCAGGTTGCTCATCTGAATTCACCAGCTGTAGTACCTTGATTAGTAGTAAGGTAGCCCTAAGACATGTCACAACATTACTCCAAATTTTATTATCCAACGCAATCTTTTGAACTTTCTTGCCTTTCTCCGAACGAGCATGTGTGTTTCCCTTCCAGCTTGATGAAGAAAACATTGTAATTAAAGAACCCTTATGTTCAATAAGGCAACCCAAAATCGAATATGCAGTTGCAAATCGAGTAAAAGCTGGCCGAATTAAATCTCTTCCTTTGGTGTAGTTTTTCATCGAAGAGATGAGACTTGGTCTATTGTAAATAAATGTAGTGATCTTTCTACCTTTCCTTATTGTTACTCGGTGAGTTTGCAGCTTCTTCTCGAAATCCTCCAATATCAAGTCTATGCAATGGGCTGCACATGGTGTCCAAAATAAATTCTTCTTTTTCTCCATCAACAACGATCCAGCTGCTTTGTATGAGGCAGTAGTATCAGCGATCACTTGCACCACATTCTCTTCCCCAACCTTGTCCACAATTTTATCCAACATCTCAAACACCTTTTCAGCTGTTTTGGAAAAGGAAGATGTATCGATTGACTCCAAAAAAACAGTTCATTTAGGATTATTAACCAAGAAATTAGAGATCGATCTTCTCTTTATGTCAGTCCAACCATCTGACATGATTGTGTATCCAATCTTACTCCATTCGTCCTTGTTGAAATCAAGGAAATTGTCTATTTTCTTGACTTCTTCAGTCAAAAAAGTCTCTCTAATCTCGTGGTAAGAGGGACGCTTAAAACCTGGACCATGTCGAGCTATATCCTCGCATGCTCTCTCAAACTCGGGATTTCTTATTGTGTTGAAAGGGATACCACTCGTATAAAACCATTTTGTTATTCGCTTGTATGCGCTTTTTCGCAAATCCTTCTTGAGTAGTTGATTCATAGTTGTTTGGTACGAACCTGCTTTTTCTTTCCCCTTTGAAGCATGATCCATGAATCCCGAGTGTGTTTCATTCATCGAAATCGAGGTGTCATACAATTTTCTTTTTTTCTTCTCTTTAATTTCAGCAAGAGTTGCTAGATTCTCAATCACACGGGTCTTCACATCATCTGGCACACTTAAACATGCAATAACATTATCATTTGTACCAGCAAGATTATTCTTCAAACGATAGACACCTCCGAAAAAACAATTAGTACAATATTTGCATTGATATCTCTTCGCATTATTGTCAATGTCAATGCCATGTTCTCACCCAATAACAGGTCTACTTCCACTAGACTTCTTCGAATTACTTTTTTTTTTTTCTTAGACACAATTGAAGAACTAGAAGCAACCCCCGACATTTTAATAAGAATCTAAAAAATAAATAATAATGTGTAAGTAAATATTTGATTACAAAGACAGGAAATTGTCGAAATTTAATTTGAAAAACAGTCTGCCTTGCAAACAAACAGAGACAAAAAAAAAAAAAAAAAAAACACTCACCACAAACAGAGACAGGAGAAAGAAAAAAGAAAAAAAAAACCCACCACAAACAGAGGCAGAAGAAAGAAAAAAGGACAAAAAAAAAAAAACAAAAGACTCACTAGTTAGCACCGCCGTCTCCTTCACCGCTGCGCCGCCGTACCACCGCCTCCTTTGCTGCCGCCTTCCCTCACGGTCCGTCGCTTCCCTTCGTAACTCACAGACGCTGTTTGTTTTTCTCTTGAGAGAAGAGGAATGTTTTCTTCCCGTTCACGAATGTTTTAGAGCAAAATCAAGTTGAGCCTATAAAATTATTGATTTACTTGCTATTGGGCTGTATTTTTTTAGTTAAATATTGAGTTTTTTGGGCCCAAACTCGAAATTCCAGCCCAAACTGAGACAAAAAATAAAAGCGCATTAAAATCGCGTTTTTAACGATTTTAACGATTTGGAACGCGATTTCACCCAATTTTGAGGCACCTGCTATATTAGTCCGATCTTACTCCTTCTTAGTGTGTAAAATCTTAAAATCGCACGATTTTAAGATCTGAATCTCGATTTTAACTACCTTGGATGACCGGAACAAGTTGTGTGTGACTAGATATGGAGCGAGAAAAAAATAGACGAAGGAGAAGAAGAAAAGGAGATATATAAAAAAGGAAAGAGAGGGAAGATATGTTGTGGTGTAGAGGAAAACAATTGTAGGTAAGAGAGATTGATAGGTGTAAGTGGATTTATAGAGAGGAAAAAAGTGATGAAGATGATGGGGAAGGAGGTCTACCGGTCCTAACAACCCGTGTTGACCCCAGTTGAACCGGTCTGACCGTAACCCAAATACCGATCAATTTTGTGTCTGGTCCATCTCTGACAACATTGCAATGAATATAAAAAGTAGTAACATGATTTATATTTTCAAATGTTTATGCTAACAATGAAGGGAAATTTAATAAAAAAACTATTAAAATTAAAGCAATATTTTAAAAAAAATTCTTCTTAAAATTAGAATTGAAATAATTTTTTTTTTAAAGATATTGAAAAAAAATCAAATTTACATATTTATCATTTATTTCATGATTGGAATGGTAATATGATATGAACAAATGCCACATCATTAAAGCCAAAGCCTTACCATTCAATGTATTAGTAGAGAAGGTAAGTGTTACATTTCTTACTTGATATTTATTACAACCCCTATATTTTAAGGGCCCTTTTGGTTCGCCATTACGCCTGATGGAACAAATAGTACCAAGTAGGAGGACATTTGGTTTGGAGGTTTGGCCACATGTTGATAAATGGTCCCACCATATTTATCAACCAATAGAATTATTACCTGTCAAGCCAAAATTGACTTGACTCTTTATCACCAAATAATCCCATCATCTGCACAAATATGATATGTCGATTGTGCCCTTACAACAAGGAATAATTACAAAAATATTACATATAAAAAGTATAATCTTCAGATCCCCTTTCACTGCTGAGCCCTAATCCGTCGCGGTAAGAACTGATCTTTCATCGAAATATTTTTTCCCCAAAATCGACAATTTATTTACATGTGGTTTTGTTACTACCGCCTAATTACTGGAAGAGTTTTTTGTTTCGCAGAGAACGGGGCACGTATTTTTTGGCTAATTTTCAGGCACGCTAAGAAGGTAGAAGTATACAATTTCACGATTAGATTTGGAAAGGTAATTCTCAGAATCTTCGTCTTCATTAGTTGTCTTTTTAACATCGTTGTATGTCGTAATTCCCATTCTATTTTTTTCCGAAAAAATTAGGGTTGTCGATTGGAACGGAGACTACCATTACCCGTTTAGATTGTGGGCTTTTGTTGCGCGAAATAGCCCTGCCTTGACATGTTCCAAATTCTTGACTACAATCAGGTATTATTCGATTGGAAGGGTGGGTTCTAATTTTGGACATTTGTATTATTTAACTTATTTACAATGTTAGTTTACTGTATAGGTTAATTGACTACCGTATAGCTTTCATAAACAAATATGTTATGTTTTGGTTTGGCTATTCACTTGTTTTTAATTTTTGAACTAATAATCATGTTTGAGTGCATTTTGTTTGGGTTTTGCCTTCATGTTCAAATTTAGGTTAATTGATTATAGATCCACTAAGATGTTCTTCTTTATAAATGTGTTACTTTGTTGGTTATGAATATTGTAGGATCTTGTTGGCTTTCGATGGATTTGTCAAAACAAGAAGAAGATGTAATAGTAGTGTTGAACCAACTATTATTTAATCTAAGGTTGTTTTTCTTAATGCCTGTGCATATTTTGACCCAATATAATTGTCGTCGTTTGGCTGAGTCGCAAAATGAAACTCGAACGTATAGTTTGGTAGGAAGAACCTCTTCTCAGCTAGATTATTTGCGTTCTATAGTTGGCTTGAATGATGTTACATGTCGTGATAATCTTAGAATGAACATACAAACCTTCTACCATTTGTGTTATGTTTTGGAAAATGTTGGTGGTCTTAAACCTAATAGAAATGTGTCCGTACCCGAGCAAGTTGCAATGTTTCTTCAAATACTTTCCCACCACACAAAAAATGTCGTTGTTCGAAGTCATTTCAAGGAATCGGGGTACACCGTAAGCAAGCATTTTAACCGCGTCCTTTTGACTTTGCTAAAGTTACATGAAATGCTATTGATTTCACCAAAGCCCGTTGGTGAAAATTCAGAAAATGAGTGTTTCTCACTCTTTAAGGTACGGTGAATAACATACAACGTAATTGATATCTTACTCATCATTAATCAATTTAATATTTTCAATACTATGTAATAAATTTTAGGGGTGTCTCGGGGCACTAGATGGGACTTACATAGAATGTCGCGTCCCTTGTCTTCATAAACCAAAATATAGAAACCGTAAGGGTAAGGTGTCATTGAATGTTTTAGCCGTTTGTGATGATGACATGAACTTTATTTACTTACTTATGGGGTGGGAAGGCTCTGCCGCCGACAGTAGAATTCTTCGGGACGCGGTAACTAGAGATAACGGGCTACGGGTTCCTACGGGTATGTTTGTAAAATCTAGATTAACACAGTATGTTATTACTAGTTACCATTTCCAAATTTTAAAGGTCCATGAGTCATTTCTATATGTAGTAAAATCTTCCGATTACAGGTAATTACTACTTGGTTGATAATGGTTATAGCAATGGTGAGGATTTCTTGGCACCGTATTGAGGTAGTAGATCCCACCTTGATGCATATGGTCAAGGTCCAAATGCACCTACAAACTTTAGAGATTTTTTTAACATGAAACATGCGAAGGCAAGAAACATCATTGAGCGGGAATTCGGTCTTTTGAAGTCGAGATGGGCCATATTATGAAGCCCGGCATATTACCCCATCAAAGTACAAAATAGGATTGTAATGGTGTGTTGTCTCCTCCATAATTTTATACGCACAGCCAATGATTTCGATCTCGAGGAAGAAACCTCGGATGATTTTTTCCGTAAGAATCCAGGCATTATTAATGGTGAAGATTACATAAACACTGTTGAAACTTAAAAGGAATGGACCACATGGCAGGATACTATTGCCTAAAACATGTATAACGAGTGGCTAATGTCTCGTTAAACATGTTTAAAAAGTCTTGTTTGTAATTCAATTGTTAACTGTTTGTTGTTTGTTTTAAGTTTTTATGCATTGTTTGTTTTCGTGTAAGACTTTGAAATTTTATTTGGATTATATTATTAGAATGGTTTGGTCTGCTGTGATTTTTTTTAATGCTTTAATGAATTTTCTAAATTATATATTGTCCAATACTTCAGGGTACATGGATACCAATGCTGGTTCAAATAAATGTACTACTGGTAAGAAGCAAGTCATCAATAGCATGCGTTGTTGGACAGTCCTTGAAGAGCAAACCTTAATTTTAGGACTGAAAGATATTGTTTCAAGGGGATGGAAGTGCGAAAATGGTTTTAAAAAAACCGGTTTTTTAGGGACTTTGGAACAATATATGATGCAAAAATTCTCGGTTACCGATCTTAAGGCTTCACCACACATCCATTTCAAAATACACGTGTGGAAAAAGCATTATGGAGCATTAAGAACCATGCTTTCAAGGTCTGGATTTGGTTGGAACGATGCAAACAACACAATAGATGTGATTGGCGATCAAGTATGGCAAGATTATATAAAGGTATTTCATGTTATGCACGTAATAAAGAATCATACTTAATTCATTATAAGAATTGTATATACATGATTACGTTGATGTATTTGTGTGTTTCTATTCGTAGACTGATACAAATGCCCGTTCAATGAGGTACAAATCGTGGCCATTTTACAAAGATTGGACTCAAAATTTTAGAAAAGATCGTGCCACAGGTGAACATGCCGAAGCATTTGTTGAAACCATTAATGATTTGGTGACAAGCTCGAAAGGCAAGAAACATAATTCTAATGACGACGAATACGTTCCACAAGTAGACCCCTCGAATACGACGAATACGTTCCAAAAAACGATCACGCATTGACCCCGTTGATAATGGGTATGTCGAAA